TCTTTTTTGTTTTCAGCTGCCGCTGGCGTTGCTTCGTGCTGCTCAGAACCGTCCGCTGGTAAGACGCAGGGTGCTGCTGCTGCTGCTGCTGCTGCTGCTGCTGTTGCTGCTGTTGCTGCTGTTGCTGCTGCTGCTGTTGCTGCTGCTGTTGCTGCTCTTGTTCTTATTTCTTCTTTCTCCTCTGCTTGTTTATTGTATATCGTTCTGTTCTGGATGCTACCGTTACTCCTATTGCTGCTGCTGTTGCTGTTGCTGCTGCTGCTGCTGCTATTCCTGCTGCTGCTGCTGCTGCTGCTGCTGCAGCACCAGCAGCATTGAGCGTCATATAATCTGCAGCAGCAAATCAACTCTACCATTCCCTCTCCCTTCATCATCATCACCATAATCCTCTCCTGCTGCTGCTGCTGCTGCTGCTGCTGCTGCCCCTGCTCCTGCCCCTGCTGCTGCTGCTGCTGCTGCTGCTGCTGCTGCTGCTGCTGCTGCAGATGGTGGAGCTAAAGAACGGGGAGACCTACAGCGGGATGTTGGCTGCATGCGACGGCTTTATGAATCTTCATCTTAAAAACTCCGTCTGTACTTCCAAGGTATCCTGCTGCTGCTGCTGCTGCTGCTGCTGCTGCTGCTGCTGCTGTTGATGGTGCTGCTGATGCTGATGGTGCTGGTGGTGGTGGTGGTGGTGGTGCTGCTGCTGCTGCTGCTGCTGATGATGATGATGATGATGGTGCTGCTGCTGATGATGCTGGTGGTGCTGCTGCTGCTGCTGGTGCTGCAGCTGGTGCTGCTCCTGGTGCTGCTGATGCTGCTGCTGCTGCTGATGGTGCTGGTGGTGGTGCTGCTGCTGCTGCTGCTGATGGTGCTGATGCTGATGGTGCTGCTGCTGCTGCTGCTGCTGTAGTAGCTCTATCTGTCTCTGTTTCATCTGTCTCCTTTTTCTCTTTTTGTTTCTTTTTTTTCTTTTTTGTTTTTTTTTTGTTTTTTATGGAGAGAGTTTCTGGCGTGCATATGAATGTTTTTTGTCTCCTTTTTGTCTCCTTTCTGTCTCCTTTTTTCTCTTTTTTTCTGTTTTCTCTCGTTTCTTTCTCTGTCTCCTCTTTATCTGTCTCCTTTTTGTCTCCTTTTTCTTTTTATTTTATTTTTATTTTTATTTTATTTTTTTTTAGGATGGAGAGAGTTTCTGGCGTGTAGATGAGTGTTTTCTGTCTCCTTTTTGTCTCTTTCTGTCTCCTTTTTTTCTTTTTTTTTCTCCTTTTTCTCTCATTTCTTTCTCTGTCTCCTTTCTCTATCTGTCTCCTCTTTATCTGTCTCCTTTTTGTCTCCTTTTTCTTTTTATTTTA